AATATATAAATTTCTAGACAATTTCTTCAGAATTTATCTTCCATTGACATAGGCCAATGACTGCAGTGTTTGTTTAAATTAAATGGATATATTTCTCCAGAAAGAATATGAATAGGATGAGGAATAAAGTCCCCTGATTCTACTCCTCAAACTATCCCACTATCATTGGGTCTCTACTGCACTATATCTTGGAGGTTAAAGGTGACAAAAAAATGTGAGCAAACATTCACATCAGCGAAGAAAGCCAAAAACTTACATTGATCATTCAGTTCAGCATGCATTTCCACAAGGTTGGGATGCAAGACCACTAATTCGTAATGCTTCCAGGTCTCAAGAAGGCCATGATCCCAGATTTTAGCATATGGCTTCATCCAGAAAGATGGAATATTAGTAGTGATAAATAAAAGGAAGAAAACATACAATCTAGATAGTAAGAGCAGGTGAGATTGAATGGTACATTGAACACAGATGGGGGAGGATGAAAGCACGCACCTCCTAGAAATGAAGAGACAAAGGGTGGTCTGAGTACATCAAACACAGATGGGGGAGGATGAAAGCACACACCTCCTAGAAATGAAGAGACAAAGGGTGGTCTGAGTACATCAAACACAGATGGGGGAGGATGAAAGCACGCACCGGCTAGAAATGAGGAGACAAAGGGTGGTCTGAGTACATCAAACACAGATGGGGGAGGAAGAAAACATACAATCTAGATAGTAAGAGCAGGTGAGATTGAATGGTACATTGAACACAGATGGGGGAGGATGAAAGCACGCACCTCCTAGAAATGAAGAGACAAAGGGTGGTCTGAGTACATCAAACACAGATGGGGGAGGATGAAAGCACACACCTCCTAGAAATGAAGAGACAAAGGGTGGTCTGAGTACATCAAACACAGATGGGGGAGGATGAAAGCACGCACCGGCTAGAAATGAGGAGACAAAGGGTGGTCTGAGTACATCAAACACAGATGGGGGAGGATGAAAGCACGCACTGGCTAGAAATGAGGAGACAAAGGGTGGTCTGAGTACATCAAACACAGATGGGGGAGGATGAAAGCACGCACATCCTAGAAATGAGGAGACAAAGGGTGGTCTGAGTACATCAAACACAGATGGGGGAGGATGAAAGCACGCACAAACTAGAAATGAGGAGACAAAGGGTGGTCTGAGTACATCAAACACAGATGGGGGAGGATGAAAGCACGCACACACTAGAAATGAAGAGACAAAGGGTGGTCTGAGTACATCAAACACAGATGGGGGAGGATGAAAGCACGCACCGGCTAGAAATGAGGAGACAAAGGGTGGTCTGAGTACATCAAACACAGATGGGGGAGGATGAAAGCACGCACAAACTAGAAATGAGGAGACAAAGGGTGGTCTGAGTACATCAAACACAGAT